GAATGCATATACTTAAATAGTCGTCAAACAAGTCTCTGTAACTTTTGTATTGCAAATCTGAAACTTTAAACTCATGAAACAACAAATCCCACTGTCTTTCTGCCCCTGCCCCCAGCTCCTGGTAACCACCATTCCACTTTTATTTCTATGAATATGATAACTTCAGGTACCTCGTGTAAGTGGAATCTCACAGCCTTTGTCTTTGTAACTGGCTTATTTCACTTTGCTTGATGTCCTCGAGATTCATCCATGTAGTAGCCTGTGCCAGAATTTTTTTGTTAAGGCTGAAAAATATTTTCTTAACTACATATACCACAAACGTATTTGCTTATCTGTTCATCTTTCAATGGACATTTAGGATGCTGCCACCTCTTGGCTATGGTGAATAGTCTACGGTGAGTATGGATGTGGAAGCACCTTTTCCAGACACAGTTTTCAATTGTTTTGGCAGTATATGCAGAAGTGGGATTGCCAGATGATGTGGCAGTCCTATTTTTAATGACGTGAGGAACTGCCACACTTTTTTCCACATAGGTGGCACCATTTACATTCCCACCAATGGGGCACAAGTGTCCCAGCTTCTCCACACCCTTGCCAACAGTTATCCAGGCTTTTTTGACAGCTGCCATCCTAATGGATGTGAGGTGATTATCTCATTGTGAACTTGTTTTGCGTTCTCTGATAATTAGCGATTTGAAGCATGTTTTCATGTGCTTGTCGGTCATTTGAAACTCATCTTTAGGGCCGTGTGCAGTGGCTCATGCCTGTAACCTCACCACTTTGGGAAGCCAAGGTGGGCGGATTGCCTAAGGTCAGGAGTTTGAGACCAGCCTGGCCAACATGGTGAAACCCTGTCTCTACCAAAAATACAAAAATTAGCCAGGCGAGATGGTGGATGCCTGTAATCTCAGCTACTTGGGAGGCTGAGGCAGGAGGATCACTTGAACCCAGAAGGTGGAGGGTGCAGTGAGCCAAGATTGCACCATTGCACTCCAGCCTGGGCGACAAGCGTGAAACTCTGTCTCAAAAAAAGAAAGAAAGAGGGAGAGAGGGAGATGGGGAGAGAGAGAGAGAAGGAAGGAAGGAAGGAAGGAAGGAAGGAAGGAAGGAAGGAAGGAAGGAGAAAGAAAACCATCTTTAGAGAAATGTATACTCAAGTCCTTTACTGTTTTCTTCAGGACCTTTTTTTTCTTTTCTTTTTTTTTTTGAGACGGAATTTCGCTCTTGTTACCCAGGCTGGAGTGCAATGGCGCGGTCTCGGCTCACTGCAACCTCCGCCTNCTGGGTTCAGGCAATTCTCCTGCCTCAGCCTCCTGAGTAGCTGGGATTACAGGCACGCACCACCATGCCCAGCTAATGTTTTGTATTTTTAGAAGAGACAGGGTTTCACATGTTGACCAGGATGGTCTCGATCTCTTGACCTCGTGATCCACCCGCCTTGGCCTCCCAAAGTGCTGGGATTACAGGCGTGAGCCACCGCGCCCGGCCCAGGACCTTTCATACTCATTTTTAAAAAATGGTAGTATTTAGTTGTTTTCTTATTGAGTTGTAGAGTTTATTTATTTTGGATAAAAACCTATATCAGAGCTATGATTTGCAAATATTTTCTCTCAGCTTGTAGGTTACCTTTTCACTCTGCTGATAGTGTTTTTTGCTGCATGAAAGTATTTATGATTGATGTTCTTCTGTCTGTTTTTGCTTTGGTTTGCCTGTGTTTTTGATGTCATATCTGAGAAGTTGAATACATGATTCAAATTTTCCTGTATGTTCTTCTAGAGGTTGTACAGCGACAGGCCCTTATTCCATTTCTAGTTAATTTTTGGATGTGGTATAAGGCGAGGGTCTTCCTTTATGCTTCTGCACATGAATATCATTTTCCCTGCACCATTTGTTGGAGAAACTGTCCTTTCCCCAGTGACAGGTATCAGTACCATTGGTGAGGATCACTTGAACATATACACAAGGGTTTATTTCTGGGTTCTCTGTTTTATTCCATTGGTCTATATCTTTGCCTTTGGTCAGTACCACATTGTTTTGATTACTGTAGTTTAGTAATATGTTTTTAATTCAGGAAGTGTGAATCCTCCACTTTGTTCTTTTCCTAAATTGTTTTGGCTATTTGGGGTCCTTTGAGATTCCATGTGAATTTTAAGGTGAATTTTTTTATTTATGAAACAAATACCATTTGGATTTTGATGGAAATTGCACTGAATCACTTCAAGTGTAGGGACAATTGACAATAGTAAGTCTCTGAATCCAAGAACACAAGATACCTTTCCATTTATTTGTGTCTTCTCTCATTTCTTTCAGCAGTATTTTATAGTTTTCCGTGTACAAGGCTTTGAGCTCGTAGGATATGTTTATTCATTATTATTTTATTCTTTTTTGATGCCATTGTATTGGAATTATTTTCTTAATTCCTTTTGGATTGTTAGTTATTAGTGTATGGAAAGGCAACTGGTTTTTGATTGTTGATTTTGTATCAGCAACTTGGCTGAATTCAGTTATATTTCTAACTTTTTTGGTAACTTTAGGGTTTGCTAAATATAAGATCATGTCATCTGCAAACCGGGATGATTTTACTTCTTCCTTTCCAATGTGAATGCCTTTGCTTCCTTTTTCTTGCCTAACTCATCTGGTTATGAGTTTCCTTAATAACTTGAATAGAAAAGACAAGAGCTTTTGCTTGTTCCCACTCTCGGAGGAAAAGTGTTCAGTCTCTCACCGTTTCTCACCGCTGAGTATGATGTTAGAAGTGAGCTTTCCAAAGCGACCTTCATTGTGTTGAGACAGTTTCATCCTCTCCCTATGTGTGGAGTGTGTTTTACTGTGAAAGGATGTTGAATCTTGCCACATGCTGTTTCTACATCAATTGGCCTCACCATGGGGTTCGTTCTTCATTCTGCTAATGTGGTGTCTGCATGGTTCATGTGTCGCTTCATCCTCAGGATATACTCTCGTGTGTCTGGCTTCCTGCATTCACTCATGGGATTCATCAATGTCTGTGTTTCAGTCTGGGTTGCCTCTATTTTTTTCCTTCTTTCCTTTTTCTTTTTCTTTCTTCCGTGTGTGTGTGTGTGTGACAGAATCTCACTCTGTTGCCCAGGTTGAAGTGCAGTGGCACAATCTCAGCTCACTGCCACCTCTGCCTTCCAGGTTCAAGCTATTCTCCTGCCTCAGCCTCCCAAGTAGCTGGGACTATAGGTATGAGCCACCATGCCTGGCTAACTTTTGTATTTTTAGTAGAGATGAGGTTTCACCATGTTGACCAGGCTGGTCTTGAACTCCTGGCCTCAAGAGATCTGCCCACCTTGGCCTCCAGAGTGCTGAGATTACAAGTGTGAGCCACCCTATTCCACGAGCCTCCATTCTTTTCTGTTGCTTTGTGTGTCTTTTTGTGCACTACACCTCACTGCCTTGACTCCTGTAGCTTCCTAAGTCTGAATATCTTGTAGCATATGTCCTCCAAATTTGCTCTTATTCAAGATTCTTCTGATTCTATTTTAGTCCTTTGTATTTCTACATAAATTTTTAAATTGGTTCCTCAGATTCCACATAGCAACATCTGTTGTTGTATTTCATAAAGAATGTATTACATCTACAGACAATTTGGGGAGAACTCAACTGAGTAATATGTAGTAGGGGGAGCCCCACAATGTGAAAAGGAAGGAATAATAAACTGGGAACAAATACCTGTTACTCTTATCTCAGGAAAACGACTCAGGTCCTCGATATGTAAAGAGCTCCTAGAAATTGATAAGAAAAAGATCAGCCACACAGTAGAAAAATAAGCAAAGGAGAGTATGAGACCCTTTACAAAAAGAAATATAAAAGGCTTTGAGCATATGAACGTACGTTCATTCTCAATGATAATATACAAAATTGTCTAAAGGTTTGGAAATATACTCTGAAGCTGTGTAGAAATAGAAACTTGTATTCATTGCTGACAGAAATATAGGTTGTCTGCCAATGGATGTAGTTTGATCATATCTGTCAAAATTACAAATTGACCAGGAGCAGTGGCTCATGCTTGTAATCCTAGCACTTTGGGAGGCTGAGGCAGCCGCATCACTTGAGGTCAGGTGTTCAAGACCAGCCTGGCCATCATGGCAAAACCCCATCTCCACAAAAAAAAAATACAAAAATTAGCTGGGTATGATGGAGCTCCTGTAATCCCAGCTACCTGGGAGGCTGAGGCACTTGAACCCAGTGGGTAGAGGTTGCAGTGAGCAGAGGTCACACCACTGCACTCCAGCCTGGGTGACAGAGACTCTGTCTCAAAACAAAAATGAAACCCAGAATTATGAATGTATTTATCCTTTCATTTATCAGTCTCAATACAGGGAATTTATCCCACTTAACACATCTACACTTGACGTATGTCCACAGTTACTGATTGCAGCTTTCCTCACAAGAGCAAAAGATGAGAAACAACCCAATTTCCTCCAGCAAGGGTCTGGTTAAATAAATGATGACCATCCACATGAAAAAATGCAATGTAGTTGGGAAAGAAAATAAGAAAGAGTAGAATGGGGGAGCCTTTTATGCATCACTCTGGAAAGATCTCTGGCTAAACCAGGTTGACACCAGGGCTGGCACTTACCAGTCTGTGCCTGAACACCGAGCTGGTTTTTGCCAGCACCTTGGGAGATTGCTTGGCCATCATGTCCCCAACACCTGAGTCATCATGCTCACTATGGGCCAGGCCCTGGGCTCCTGGCCCAGCTTAGCCACTGACCAGAAGAGAGCCATTGGCCAGTCCTCCCATCGGGTGACATAGCCCAGTGAACTCTAACCCTGGGCCTCCAGGTCAGGGAGCTCTTCTTTGCTTGCCTTGAAGAATCAAGGCCAACTTCATTATGGAACCAGGAAATGGATTTCTTCACATGCCTATTTTGTAGATGGGAAGACTGAGGCCCAGTGAGGGGAAAGCCATTGGGAATCATGGATGGCATGGCATGGCCGTTCAGAGCACGGATCTCATATCCCCTCCGCCACAGGCCCCACCCAGGCTGGCCCTGAGCTGCTGGACAGGAACTTGTGCCTGAACTACCGATCCTGGCAGCTGTTCCCACTGAGCTTGGACCATGTGCCTGAGACCTGCCTCCCCTCATTTCAACCCTGCACGGGCAGCCCCACAGCAGTCGGGATGGTGCTTGTTCACAGCAGTTCTCCCAAGCCTGTAGAACTGAGCCTGATACAGGGGGCACTTCATGTTTACCTAATAAACAGATGAATGAATCAGTGCCATCCTCCCAACAGCCCTGTGAGAGAGTGCTCTAAAGAGTCCTGCCATACAAAGAAGTCATGGGTTCATTCATTCATTCATTCATGCATCCAGCACCTGTGTGCTGCTCCTTGTTATGTGCAGACACCAGGAATACGCTGGTGAACCCCAGACACCCAGAACAGGGTGGTGAACCACAGATACCCGGAATACAACGGTGAACCCCAGACACCCAGAACAGGGTGGTGAACCACAGACACCCGGAATACGACGGTGAACCCCAGACACCTGAAATATGACAGCAAACCTAGACACCATCCCTGTCCTGGGAGCTCACAGCTCAACAGACCCCTCCTGCAGGACTGTTTTGACAAGTAGCCAGTTCTGGGCCATCCAGGCAGCATGCCCAACCTGAGAGGAGCCAGATGGCCCCACAATCAGCTCCCAAAGCAATTTAGAATCGGAGCCAGTGCCAGACACGGAACTAGACCCAGTGCCAAGTTCAAAGGAACAGCCAGTGGCAGCACTGGCCCTTGAATCAGCTCCAGAGGTAGAGCCCAGGCCAGCCACCAGCTCCTGCACCAGCTGCAGAGCTAGAAGTGGCTCCAGAAATAGCTCTAGCACCACCTCCAGAGGTAGATCCAGCTCCCGTCTGAACCTGAACCTCAAATCCAGAGCTTGGGCGCCTTTATCACAAATGGCTGCACTATCTGCCGTGGTGGCTCTAGCAACAGCTCTAGAGCTTGAACCAGCTCTAAATCGATGACAGAACTGGAGTCAATGCCAGGTTCATACCATAGCCAGCACCAGAGTCAGAGGAAGAGTCAGGTCCAGAACCAACTCTAGCACCAGCTTGAAGCAAGAGCCTGGGCTACCTCCAGAGCCTCAACAAGGGCTTGAGCTCCAACACCAAAGCAACTCCTGAGACAGAGGCAGCTCTCTCGCCAGCTGGGATACCATGTCTAAACCCAGCTGCAACAAGAGCTCTAGCTCCAACACCGATCTAGAAAGCACTCAAGCACCACCACTCCCAGCAACTCCAGGGATAGAGGCAGCTCTAACACCAACTCTGGTGCCATCTCTAGAGCTATGACCTGCCCCAGCACCAATTCAAGGAGAGAGCCAGCGAGAGTTTAGCTTTCGATGCGGCTCCAGAACCACCTGTAGCATCACCTCCTGACCTAGAGCCACTCCGACATCCACTTCACAGCTAAAGCTAGCCCTGTCTACACGGCAAGACCTGACTCTGGCACCACCTCTAGAGGGAGAGCCAGTCGCTGGCCCAGATCCACAGCTAGAGTCAGCTCTGGTGCCAGCTCCAGTGCCAGCCCCAGAACCAGAACCTTCGTGTTCCCCACCTGCCAAGGCATTCTTTTTTTTCAGGCTGGTTTTCTTTTATTCATATTCTTTATACTTACCCATATTTTATGTTATAAAATTCATGTAAAATAAAGTTTACCTTTTATTTTATTTATTTATTTATTTATTTATTTATTTATTTATTTTGAGTCGGAGTTTCGCTCTTGTTACCCAGGCTGGAGTGCAATGGCGCGATCTCGGCTCACCGCAACCTCCGCCTCCTGGGTTCAGGCAGTTCTCCTGCCTCAGCCTCCTGAGTAGCTGGGATTACAG